CCCAAGGAGAAGACAGGGAGAAACAGATACCACTAATTTAATTTTCTTGTTTAGGTCACATACCAGGGGAAAAAAAACTATAGGCTCTTCTGCACAGTGCCAATTTCTCAGTCACATTTCTGACCATAAATGTACAGTAGTTTAACATTGTAAGGATTCTTACAAGATTATTTAAACATGTGCTCTACTGGGTCTACATTTATAATTCTTAAAATCTGAGGATCCTTCACAAGAATATCAAAGTCATAAATGGAAAATAACATGTTTCAAAATATTTGAAATGTTTATAAAGAATTTTAAATTTCAGCATTGTGATTAAGATCTATGAAAAAGTCTCTGCAGAGGGATATCTCAAACACTGTCTACAACATTTTCAATATAAATTTTCTTTTTCTATTGAAATCAGGGGTGCAAGGACTCTTCACTAGACAAAGCCTGTAATATACTTAATGTGTGCCTGTCACCCTCATTTCATATACAAAATTCTTGGAATCAAAACATTGGTTAGGATATTTCCAAGGAGGGTTTCTAAGGAGCAGCTGGTGGCTTTGAACTGCCAATCTTATAGTTCAAAGTACATTGCCTATTTCTCTATTCTAACTTTGTGAAAAATAAAGTGAACAAAACTTACTGTTTCCAGTTAAATAAGGTATATTGCTGTGGTTAGTTGCTCTCAAGCTGATTTTGAGTCATGATAATCCTATGTATGCAGAGTAGAACTCTTCCATAGCATTTTCCAGACTATAACCTTTCAGAAGGAGATAGCCAGGCCTGTCTTTGGAGACACCTCTAAGTTCGAAATGCAAAACATTCAGCTAACAGTTGAATGTTTAACTGTTTGTGTCACCCCTCCCCACCCCCAAAGCCAAACAAACCCACTGCCATCAAGTCGATTCTGAATCATAGTGTCCCTGTATAGGGTTTCTTAGACTGTGCATCTTTATCTTCCAACTGCTCCTTGGAAACCCTCCTTGGAGTCCTTATGAGTCAGAATCAATTCAATGGCACTAAACAACTATATTATACTACAGACTTAGTTAATAAACTACAGATTTAAGTGAAAGTCAGGTCTGTCTTGGACTTCTGTCAAGTAGGTTCGATAAGCTCATGTTTCTCCCTCAGAGTGGCTGATGAGTTTGAATCACCAACTTGCAGTAAGTAGCTTAACACCTAACTCAAATAAGGCATGCTCTCTTATTATAGAACCCTGATAGCAGAGTAGGTTACAAGCTGGGCTGTTAACTGCAAGGTCAGTAGTTCAAAACTATGAGCTGCTCTAGCTGAGGACTCTAGACTCATAGAAAGAGAAAGGCTGTGTGCTAGCAGCCAGGTGCTAGTGGACAGGAGGCAGGCTTGTTGAATGTGTCCTTTGGTTGTTTAAATGATTATATATTCCTAAGTGGTTTTTTGTGCATCACCCCTGCCAAAACAAAACAAAACAGAGGGAATAGAATCAAATACTGTTGAATGATGATACACAGAGGAGACTGTAATCATTGCAATGAAACGATGAATGTAAAACTGATGTTCCTCCGTGTAAACTACCACTCAATTTACAATAAAAACTCAAAAATAAATAAATAAAAACTACGAGCTACTCTGCTGGAGAAAGATGAGGCTTTCTGCTCATGAAAGGATTTATTGTTGTTGTTGTTGTTGTAGGTGCCATCGAGTCGGTTCTGACTCATAGCAGCCTTATGCACAGCAGAATGAAACTGCCAGATCCTGCTTCAGCCTCACAATCACTGTTAAGTTTGAACCCATTGCTGGTGCTACTGTGCCTGTTCATCGTGTTGGGGGTCTTCCTTTTTTTCACTGACCCTCTACTTTACCTGAAGCATGATGTCTTTCTCTAAGGATTGGTCTCTCCTGATAATATGTGTGAAATATGAGAGATGAAGTCTCAGTATCTTGGTTTCTAACGAGCATGCTGGCTATAGTTTTTTCAAAACAGATTTGTTTATTCTTCTAGTGGTCTGTGGTATTTTAAATATTTTTCTCCAACACCATAACTATAATGCATTAATTCTTCTATGATCTTCTTTATTCGTGATCCAACTTTCACTGCATGCATATGAAGCTATTAAAAATACCATGGCTTCAATCAGGGAAACTTTAGTCCTCAAATTGACATCTTTAAAGATGTTTTATGCAGCATATTTGCCTAATGCAACATATTGTTTGATTTCTTGACTGCTACAATCATGAATGATGATAGTGAATCCAAGCAAAATGAAGTCTTTGACAACTTCAATCTTTTCTCCATTGATCACGATGCTATTTGTTGATCCACTGGTAAGGATGTCTATTTTCTTTACACCAAGGTACAATGCATACTGAAGGCTGTGGTCTTTGATCTACATCGGTAATTATTTTAAGTCCTCTTTGCTGTCATCCAGCAAGGTTATATTATCTGCATATTGTTGTTGTCAGGTGCCATCGAGTCAGAACTGACTCATAGCGACCCCATGCATAGCAGAACGAAACAATGTCCGATCCTGGGCCAACCTCACTACTGCTGCCACACTTGACGCCATCAATGATGCCACCTGGCTGATCCATCTCGTTGAGGGTCTTCCTCTTTTTCTCTGACCCTCCACCTTACCCAGCATGACATCCTTCTCCAGCAACTGTTCTCTCCGGACAATGTGTCCAAAGTAGGAAAGACGAAGCTTAGCCATCTTGGCCTCCAAGGAGCACTCTGGTTGCACTTCTTCCAGAACAAATCTATTGGCTCTTTTGGCAGTCCATGGCACTTTCAGTATTCTCCTCCAACACCACAACTCAAAGGCATCAATTCTTCTACGATCTTCCTTATTCACTATCCAGATTTTGCATCTTTATTAGGTTATTGAAAATACCATGGGTTGGGTCAGGTGCACCCTAGTCCTCAAGCTAACATCTCTGCTCTTCAGTACTTTAAAAAGTTCCTGTGCAGCAGATTTGCCCAATGCAATACATCGTCTGATCTCTTGACAGTTGCTTCCGCAAGTGGTGATAGTTGATCCAAGAAGAATGAAGTCCTTGACAACTTCAATCTCTTCTCTATTGATAAGAATGCTGTTTATTGGTCCAGTGTTGAGGATTTTTGTTTTCTTAACATTGAGATGTAATCCATATCGAAGGCTGTGCTCTGTGATCTTCATAACTATATGTTTCAAGTCCTCTTCACTTTCAGCAAGCAAGGTTGTATCATCAGCATATCGCAGGTTGTTAATGAGTCTTCCACCAATCCTGACACCACGTTTTTCTTCATAGAACCCAGCTTCTCATATTATTTGCTCAGCATACAAATTGAACAAGTATGGTGAAAGAACACAACCGTGTCACACACCTTTTCCCAATTTTAAAACATTCAGTGTTCCCATGCTCTGACGGTTAATGAGTACTTCTCCAATCCTGATGCCATGTTCTTCTTCAAATAATCCTGCTTCTTGGATTATTTGCTCATTGTATAAATTGAATAAGTCTGGTGAAAGAATATAACCCCGGTGTGCCCCTCTCCTAAATTTAAACAATTCAGTATAGGGTTTTTCAAAGAGTGACTGGTGAACTTGAACCACCAACCTTGAGGTTCAAACCAACTTTGCAGTCCAGCATATTAACCTACTGTGCCACACCAGGACTCCCACAGATGACTGGTGACCTGTAAGAATATGCAGCCTCAGAAACCCTATATAGGGTCACTATGAGTGGCAACTGACTTGATGGCACACAACAACCACCACACCACCTGCTATTAATAATCTCTTTTTAAAATGACCTTCCCTACATTTAACCCTAACTTTTGTGTATCTGGGACAAAAGAACAATATATATAGGCTCTTATATATAAATATATATATTTTTTTAATTACCAACCAAACTAACAAACTTTTACATAGATTATGTTCTACCTTACTACAATGACAAATATAATTTTAAATGACCTAGCAGTCCAGATTAGAATTTCAAATATTTGGATGTTGAATGATCAAAGACTTTAACTTCAGATCTCTAAGAAATTGGCCTTGGCTTTACTGGCTTCCCGATCAAACGTGTCAAGATTTCTTTCATACTGGCCTTTGTAAATTCTGTACACTATATCTTTTTTCGCTAATTGTACTTACCTTAATTTCAGACTGAAGCTCAAGTTCCCTCACTGCTCTGTATTCACAAGAATGGCATTCTATTTCTTCATTCTCTGTGCAGACTAATATTAGTGTTATTAGGGTCTTACTATCTAATACCTCACTCATCTTTGTACAGTCTGGTGTCATATCTGCATTTACTTATCACTACATTTCTAGCTTCCAGCCAAGCACACAGAATGTAGCAGAAAGCCAGTGAATAAACTTGAGCATGAAGATTGCTTCTGAAATGTCTTAGAAACACAGATATCCTACAGATCTCATCAAAAGGTGATTCTAGAACGGTTTTCTTCCACCAAATATTACTATATGTTAAGACTTAACTTGTTCCGTGCAGTTTCTCACGACTTTTTATTTGCACTCCCAAAGTCTCTTCAACCTTGAATTACTGATAACTCCTTCCTGTCTTCTCATAGCATATTTTAGTGTACAAATCTTGGCTATTTTGTGTTTGAGGTATAATTTGCATATAGTAACATTTGCTCTTCTTCAATTACAGCCTATATACATTTTGACAAATGTTCTCATTGTGTAACCACCACCCCAATCAAGACATAATATCTTTAGTACTTTGCATAGCGCTTTCCTTTGTATTTGTTATATTAACAGTATCATAACTTATTTGCATACAGATCTTTAGAAATATACTAAAGGCCCTTGTGAGTAGGAATAGTCTCTACTTCTTTATCCCTGAGAGACTAGCAATAAATGTGCTTATAAATTTATTAGCTAATTAACATGTTAAACAACTCTGTGGAATGTGCTAACTTGTATATCAGAGATACAAAAATATACTTGTTAGATCCTACAAAAAGAACTCTAAACATGTCAAACAAGCCCTGCAAGAAATATATGTAATTCAGAGCTTACCATCCCCTGTTTCTGCACAGAGCTGTAAGCCCAAATTGTTCTGTGGATTAATCACCCAATGATTGCTGGTCACAGTGATATCAAAGACAAGCCAACCCACATCTAAAGCTTGGGCCTTTCTTGTGTCTAACAGGAACAGATCTGCATCCCTAAGAAGAAAAAGAACAGAAAAAAGAGTTAAAGGTTTGAGTGAAGCACATCATTTCCTATACTTAAATGAAAACACTCACAAAGAACGCTTTAAAATAACAGGACTTAATTAAAGAACAAGGGGAACAAGTAACTCAAATGATGAGTAATAAGATGCAGAACCTTTTGTTAGTCTTCCAACACAACCTGGTGCATATTAGTAATATCTGAAAGTAATTTCCATTTTCCTGCTTTTCACTGATCTCTGCAAACATTAGATTTTCTCTTAATTTGGTCCCTGGTTATCAGTGTTCCCTGAAAACACTCTAGCAGCCTTCTCTAGCAAGTTCACAAAGGATTCAACTAAAAGAAGAAGGAATGGAAGTTGCTGCTCCAGTTTGCATGAATATGGGTCCTCAAAGGGATGGAGCACAGGCAAGCTGTGATGCAAGAATGGGTTTGAAGACAGTTTTCTAATATTGCCATTGTTCACTATATATCTTAATTTATGGATACCTAAGAGTCCTGGTGTGGCGCTGTGGGTTAATGCGCCAGACTGCAAAGCCATTTGAACTGCAAGGTCTGCGTTCAAGCTCACCAGCTGCTCCTTGGAAACCCTATACAGGGTCGCTATGGGTCGGAATCGACTTGACGGCACTTAACAACAACAATGACAAGCAGTGGAGTCCTGATGTGGTGCTGTGGCTCAATGTGCCAGACTGCAAAACCGTTTGAACTGCAAAGTCAGCTGTTCAAGCTCATCAGCTGCTCCTTGGAAACCCTATACAGGGTCATTATAGGTCGGAACCGACTCGATGGCACTTCACAACAACAATGCCAAGCAGTGTTTTGTTCTTTTTTTACACAGAATCACTTTGAATTGAAATGCTCTCAACGACACCTAACAACAACTAAATAAAGCCACTCAAATGGAAAAATAATTATAGGCAAGTATACATGTTTCTGTGGCTGCATATTTATAGTTAAATTTAAATATTTTAGCAGTGAGCTCTGGTAGCTTAGTGGTTACAAGTCAGACTGCTAATCTCAAGGTCAGTAGTTGGAAACTACCAGTTGTTCGCAGGAGAAAGATGAGACTTTCTGCTCCTATAAAGATTTACAGTCTCAGAAACCCTATACAAGGTTGCTATGAGTCGGAACTGACTCCACAGCACACCACCACCAACACTACCACTATAATTAGGGAGTCCTAGTGTGGCACTGTAAGATAAGCACTGGGCTATAAACAGTAAGGTTGGCAGTTCAAACTCACCAGCTGCTCCTTGGAAACCTGACACACAAACTCTATGGGTTGGAACTGACTTGAAGGCTCTTAAC